GGCTCCCAGCTATTGGAAGTGTTTGGTAAGGATTAGAAGGTGTGGCCTTGTTGGAGGAGGCATGTCACTGGGGTGGGCTTGGATGTTTTCAAAAGTCTAGACAAGGACGAGTCTTACTTTCTTTGCCTGTGGATCAAGATGTAAGCTCTCAAGCCAGGCGTCAGTGGTACATGCCTTTAATTCCAGAACTTAGGAGGCAGAGGCAGGCAGATTTCTGTAAGTTCAAGGCCAGCCTGGTCTACAAAGCTATACAGAGAAACCCTGTCTCAACAAAACAAAACAAACAAACAAAAAAAAAAAAAACAAAGATGAAAGCCCTCAGTTATTGCTCCAGTACCATGTCTGCCGCCACACTCCCCACTATGATGGTCATGGACTAACCCTCGGGAACTCTAAGCAAGCTCACAAGTAAATGCTTTCTTTTACAAGTTGCCTTGGTCATGGTGTCTCTTCACAGAATAGAACAGCAACCAAGACACCATCATTCAGGGAAACTGAGGCAGGAAGTCAAGCAGCTAGTAATATATCCACAGTCAAGAGTAAAGAGAGAAAAAATGCAACCTTGGTTGCTCGCTTAGTGTTCAGCTAATGCTGTTTACTTTTATAGAACCGAGGCCCAAAGCTGAGGAGCAGTGACACAATGCCTGGGTCTCCCTACATCAATTAACAATCAAGACAACCCCCTGCAGACAGCAGGCCAACCTCACTTACACAATTTCTTAAGTTGACAGTTAGACCTAACCAGCACACCATCATGTATCTTACCTCTGTGTTTTACCTGTTTAGAATATATGATCCAATTGTCTACATACATTTTCTATTTCAAGACATTGTTTAAGGGCCACGTTGTCAGAAGGGATACCACATCCAGGTTGAACTGAGTCATGCCCCTCTGTGTTGCTGTAGTGTCCTGTGCATATCTCAGCACACTTGTCATCCTTGCTGGCTTGGGAGGTAGCTTCAAACCCACCCCCAGTCTTCTCCCTCATTGTGACCGGCAGCAGCTGCTACACGTGAGCTTCCTTGATACCGCCCCCTGCTTCTCCTACATGTCACTGCTTTTGTGCAGCTACACGTGAGCTTCCTTGATACCGCCCCCTGCTTCTCCTACATGTCACTGCTTTTGTGCAGCTACACGTGAGCTTCCTTGATACCGCCCCCTGCTTCTCCTACATGTCACTGCTTTTGTGCAGCTACACGTGAGCTTCCTTGATACCGCCCCCTGCTTCTCCTACATGTCACTGCTTTTGTGCAGCTACACGTGAGCTTCCTTGATACCGCCCCCTGCTTCTCCTACATGTCACTGCTTTTGTTTTAGATTTATTTATTTATTTATTTATTTATTTATTTATTCATTATACAGTGTTCTGCCTGCATGTACGCCTGCAGGCCAGAAGAGGGCCTCAAACCTCATTGTGGATGGTTGTGAGCCACCACGTGGTTGCTGGGAATTGAATTCAGGACTTCTGGAAGAGCAGCCAGTGCTCTTAAGCACTGATCCATTTCTCCAGCCCTCTCTACCTGTCACTTCTAAGTCATCACTGCGAGTTCAGCCTCCAGATTCCTCCCAAGTTACTCCACTTTGCCTCTCTACCACCAAATCCTGACTCTTCAACCTCCGCAGTACCTCTCAGATCATCACACTTCCTCTGCCTTATTTTTATTTTGGATCAACATCTCTCCCTTAGTATGTATATTTCACTCTCTCCTAGTGTGCACTCCATTCTTCAACCAGCAGCCAGACTGATCTTTCTAAACACATCAGGTAGGCTGATCAGGTTATTCCCATTTGCAACCCCGAAATGGCCCATTGTATTTAGAATTCAAACCTTTCTTTTTCTTTTTTTGGTTTGAGACAAGGTTTCTCTGTGTAGCCCTGGCTGTCCTGGAACTCACAGAGATCTGCCTGATTCTACCTCCTGAGCGTTGGAATTAAAGGAGTATGCCACCACCGCCCTGCTGAATCCAAACTCTTTAATTTGACAAACAATGTCCTATATTGCTCCTTCTGCTCCATCTCAAGCCTCTCTCCTTTACTTCTTCAGTGTTTCTGCCTTTGGGTCTCCATGGACTCCTTTTAACTCATCGAACTGGCTTAATGTCTCCTATAGCAGGACCTATGAAAACATTTTTATTTCTGTTTGCAGTATGAGTAATGTGAGTATATTCCTTATTAAAGAGAACTTGGACATTGGCTATCCAATATTCTATTAGAGATTGTGATGACGAATGCTCACTGTCAACTTTACTGGCTTTGGGTTCACTTAGGAAACACACATCTGGGTGTTTCCAGAGAGGCAGGTGTAACTGAGGAGGAAGAACCATCCCGAATGCGTCAGCAGCCCAAGGGCCTACAACTCTGAATGGAAAAGAAGAAAGCTAGGACTGGAGAGACGGCTCAGAGCTTAAGAGTTCTGGCTCTTCTTCCAGAGGTCCTCAGTTCAATTCCCAGCAACCACATGGTGACTCACAAATCATCTGTAATGAGATCTGGTGCCCTCTTCTGGTGCACAGACATATAGGCAGGCAGAACACTGCATACAAATAAATAAATAAATAAATAAATAAATAAATAAATAATCTCTTAAAAATGCCTCTGTTTAGGGCTGGAGAGATGGCTCAGTGGTTAAGAGCATGGCTGTTCTTCCAGAGAGTCTGGTTCAATTCCCAGCACCTACACAGCGGCTCACAACTAACTGTAATTCTAGTTCCAGGAAATCTGACATCTTAGTACCAATGCATATAAAAGAAAGTTAAATGAATTATTTTTAAAAATATCTCTGTCAGAGTACAAAAAAAAAAGAAATGGAAAACTGATTTTCATCTGGACATATGTATATATATATTGGTTTTTTGAGACAGAGTTTCTCTGTATTGTTTTGGAGGCTGTCCTGGAACTCGATCTGTAGACCAGGCTGGCCTCGAACTCACAGAGATCCACCTGCCTTGGCCTCCCGAGTGCTGGGATTAAAGGCGTGCGCCACCAATGCCTGACTGGATATCTATATTTTTAACTTTGGGACTCCTATCTTTTAGGCTTCCTCTCTGCCCTCTACCAAATTATTGCCTATTCTTTTTGGCACATTTCAAGGCCCAAGGAGTATGGACAAGTGGTACCATATCCAGCTCTTTTCTTTAATTTTCTGTATTTAGAAGACAAAACGAGAACTTGTATAAAAACCAAATCTCCAAACAAGGAAAATGATTTATTTTAAAAACCAGAATTAATTTCAAGGCAAGGTAGTGTCTGAATGATACTCAAAAGGAATGTGGCTGCACAGTTTTAGCATTAGCAGCAGCCTGGGGTTTTATAGACACACAGCTTCACAGGGTACAGCAGTCTCTGCTCACTTAGGCTTGCTTTTCTTCAGTTTCAGTTTCAAGGGTTTAACCACAATCCAAAACTATGAAATGGAAAAATCCAGAAATGTGTAATTATTGCTTTAAATGTCTTGCTACTCTGAGCAGTGTACCACCTGAACCTGAGTCATCCTGTCTGGCATATGCACACTGTATATGCTCCTTGTCTGGCAGTTACTATGTAGAATATCTACAGTCTATGCTCCTGGCCTGACAGTCACTATCTAGATTGTACACTATGTATGCTACTTGCCTGGCAGTCACTATGTAGATTATCAGACAACTGTCGGAGAGTAGTACAGGGTGTGTCCAGGTAGCCCTTATTTTGGCAATTTTATTACAGCATACTGTTATCATGGTTCTATTTTATCAGTTACTAATTTCTTACACTGCTTAATTGATACATTAGGCCAATCCTGTGTGTGAAGAAACCCTTAATTCTCATCTGGTTTTCAGGAGCCCACTGGATTGATGGGACTACTAAGGAGGAGCACATCTATGACAATGGCTACTGATTTCTCAGGAAAGATGAGAACTGAGAAGATTTCACAAGACTGTCCCTGATGTCACCCAGAGCCAGCAAGGGGGAAGGGAGAGGGAGAAAAAAATAGAAGAAGTAAGAGGCCTAGAGGCAAGCCTTTCAAAGAGGCTAGTTAATAAAGAGGAACCGAGATATGGGGACATTTGGCCTGGGGGGCATTATTTAAAGGTGGTATGCAACATTACACATTTGTTAAATTGATAAATGAGAAGCAAATGAGGTATGACTGTACAGCAGACACGTGGTTTGTACTTCAAGTCCCACACAGTAACACTGACTGCCTCAGATATAGCTCATGATTCTATACGTGTTCATCTATTTTCTGATATAAATTATACACAATGGAGTTAACTTCAATTATGTCCACCACACTACTAAAATGTTAGCTCAGGATCATATTTTAAAATAATTTTTAAAAGTTTGCTGTTCTAGGAGACTTGAGTGGTCCTAACTAATGCAATACTGAAACCAGCTCACAGAAGCCAACCCAAATGACTTCCATTCAAATTAGTCCTGGCAAAGCAGAAAGGAGAAAAAACAAACAAACAAACAAACCAAAAGCAAAACCACAAAACTTTCTGCAAGGCTGGCTGAAGCTCTTAAAAGTCACTTACAGCCGGGCGGTGGTGGCGCACGCCTTTAATCCCAGCACTCGGGAGGCAGAGGCAGGCGGATCTCTGGGAGTTCGAGGCCGGGCTGGACCGACAGCCTCCAAAACAATACAGAGAAACGCTGTCTCGTAAAACCAAAAAAAAAAAAAAAAAAAAAAAAAGTCACTTACAGTGCTGGGCTATTTACTCATTATTCTGGGTGTCTTTCAAAATTATGTTCCCAGCACTCCAAAGGGATAGGACTGGAATTTGACGCCTCCTGGGCTACATAGGGATGGAGGCTAGCCTCGACTACATGTCTTTAAAAAAAAGTTTCCTAGTCAAGATGAAACACATGACTGGCAAACAGATGCGCGGGTTTTCCCTTCAGAAAGGGGCAGCCCTCGGATGGAGGCACCATGAGGCACCGGCCGCCCAGCAGACAATGTGGAACGACCTGGGCTGCATGCTACTCCCCAGCCAGCCCGTCCCTGGCGCCCGCAACTTGCCTGGGAAGCAGCGCTGCACAGCCACGAGCCTCCAGAGTCTTCCTCTTCCACGGAGCAAGCCCTTGTTGACAGGTGGCTCGTCGCAGAGCTCTGAAAGTTAGGATGTGACTGCCAGAGAACTTGTCCTGAAGCCTCAGCGACTCGGAATGCCACGCCCACTGAGGCTGCAGCGTAGAAGACCTGGACTGGCCATGGAGTCCTCAGGGCAGTGGACTTGGCCCTTGGAGGCCGTGCTCCGCCCCGACAGACTGGGCCACCGAGTGGAGGGTGGGGTGCACTGTCCCCAGGAGGAAGCAGATGGCCAAGGGCGGAGGAGGGGAAATGCCTTGGGGAACTACCACCCAGGCAAATGCTGGCTTGGCTCCCTGGTTTCTGTTTTCTTCCTTTTAAATTAAGTCCTAAATTCCAGGGTAGCAGAAACCCGGAAAATAATTCGGCTTCTGTCCCTTACAGTCCAAATAAGGCCCAAGAGCGAGACAAAACAAAACAAGCAAACTAACCAAAACAAGAATCAAGTAAAACTACAAACCTTCCATAGTCCCCAAACTTCAGGCTCCAATGCTGGTCATACTTCAAAAGTTCAGTTAGATCTTCTCTCCTCGACCTTTTAATTCTGACATTTTGGTGATTTTGAGACAGGATCTCACTCTGTAGTTCTGCCTGTCTGGGAACTCACTCCATAGGATGAATTTATAAGAGAAATAAAACGGACGCGATCTACGGGGGTGGAGAAAGTTTATTGCAGACAAAAGGAGAGCATAGTCAGAGGCAGAGACGTCTGGGAGAGTGCAGAGTGGACTGTGAGGAGCTGGGGAAGAGAAAAGAGGGAACCAGGTGCAGCAGCCCACACAGCCAAAGGTAAAAGAAAGGGTGAATACCACAACGTCTGGATTAGACAGGGAAGAGCACTGGGGTGCTGAGAACCTGGCCACCAGGTTCACTTTGATATATTAAATAGGCACCTCAGCCATTCATCCCAGGGTTTGAGACTTAACATAGACCAAGCTGGCCTCCAATTCAGAGATCCAGGCTCTGCTGGGATTAAAGCATGTGTACCTGGCAAATTCTGAAAATTTTCATTTGCTGCCAAGGAGTGGAATTTAGCCAAATCCAGGGAGCCCGTGAATAGCAAATTGGGCTTGGAAGTCTGGGCCTGTTCTCAGAGACACACCACACAGAGCTCCAAGTTACTCTCCTCTCCAAGCAGCCAACTCGACTTAGCTTGGGCCTCGGGAGCTAGCAGACAGTCACCACTCCAACTGCTGCCATGCAGTGACTGATCTCATGTTGAACCCTCTGTCTGCTCCTTAACTCTCCATCTTTCTCTGGTCATTGTCTAAGGTGACCATCGTCTTCTCCAGTGTTGCTGGGCGTTGTGCCACTTGGCTTTTGTAAAAGCTCTTGCCTCTTCTCAAGTCTCTTTTGCTGGTCCTTCATCCCCTTTCCCTCCTCCTCTTTCTTCCATAGTAAAATATAAACTACTTATGTGTATCACGTGTATACAATCTAACTGTATGCACTGAGATTCTTCTGCTTCTAACCAGTTCCAGAAATTCAAAGAGCCGCCTGTTTGCAATGAAACAGCAATAAGGCCAGCCAGCATCTCTAAATACACGAGGTGTGACCCGAAACCGTATTGTGGCGACTTGGACAATGTTGCAAACCTTTGCTTTTGTTCTCAATGGAAAATTAGCCTTTGTAGCAGCATGTCCCCAAGTTTCTCCTAATGAAGGAACAAGCACCTTCTAGTTTTGTTCAGTCTTCGTTGTTATTTCATTAGTTAAAATAACAGCTAGTCTGTGATTGATTGTGAGGTTGGTCATTTGTTGGGCCAGGCCATTTAGTAATCAAGTAGGAAGGGATAGGTCATCTAGGGTGTGACAAAAAGGAAACAAGGCCACCTGTCACCACTAACTTCACCTTCTTCCACGTGTGTTCCTGCTGTAAGATGAAGGTGCTGAACCCGGGGAGTTAGTTGCAAGGTTTGCCACAGAGCTTCCCCTCATCAATAAATACGGCTGCCTCACTTGCCACTCCTCCAAAACACTCAAGACTGCTACTGACAGATTTAACAAACACCTACTTCCCCATTTGACACTTACATCAAATGCACTAATGAGCTAGAAGTCATTAACGTCCAGGGAAAGGTGGCTCACACTTTCCCACTCCCTTAAATTTCTTCAAATGCTACACTGATCATCACAATACATACATGTGTTGCTTGAAGGAAATGTTAAAATGGATCTCACACACACACACACACGCACGCGCACACTCACACACACACGCACACACACACACACACATATAAACTTAAATTTTTAAAAAGGAGAAGAAAACAAAGTTTGAGAATTAACCAAACATTCACACCCATGAAAATCTATGGGGCATGGATTCAAATAAAGAACAAATATAAGAAAATAGTTACTTGAAAGAAATGTTACTTGAAACAGACTAGTAAAATAAATAAACTATTGGTGGACATATTTAAGAGAAGAGAGACAAAGGAACACAAGGGGATAAAAAGGAGATATCAATGAAGATCACAAGACATCTGCCAACAATGCCAGACCCTAGCCACTGTTTTCTTGAGGTAGTGTTTATGTGAGCAACCCAGAGACAGGAAGGTTAATGTTTAACTCCAGGACAGACAGACAGACAAAGCCTAGCTTAGTGCTTGCTCGAAAGGTAGCAGATTGCTCAGGCTCACCGCAGGGTTATCCACCAGCTCTTACAGCACTTCTATGGACTTTGTGGGCAAGAGGAACCCAAGCAAACAATGCTGGTATTGAGTGAACCTGCTTGTTTTCCCATGAGATAAATAAAGTCCACTGTCTCACACCCAAGACTTCTGTGTCTTTTGCCTGTATCCGGGAAACAAGCGACTTTATTAGTGTAAGGGTAACAAGTAAATGAGACTTTTAGTGATGGTACGGGGAAGACACCATCATGCAGAATACTGTTCATCACTATATATAGTATCACTAGCATGGGCTGACAATACAAATCAGGAAGTTTTCGGTTGGAAGCCAAGCTAACCTCACTTGAATAGCAATACATAGCGATAACTATCAGTTTAAAAAAAATCACAAACTTAAGAGGAATAAATGGGGACAGCCCAAGGCTATGTGAGCCTAGACTCATGATTTGACACAAGAAATTAATAGGGAGAAGTTGGAAATGAGAGCCACTGAAGATCTCAGTAAACTCCAGTATCTCTACGTGCCAGGAAGGAACCTGCACACACACAAGGAAGATGGAGAGAACTCCAGGTCTCATTATACTCCTGGCTAGTCATAAGGCTATGTTTATACAGAAGAGAATTAGGAGTTCAAGTCCTCTGGATATCACTGGCTGAATGGGAGGCCACTGTATGGAGAGATGAAATCTGGACCAACAGAGTGAAGCTAGAGTTTAAACAGCAAGAGTTTTGGATACATTTCTCAGCCCAGACACATATTCACCAGAGTAGTTTTACAAGACTGAGGTGTGTGAACACAGCCTTTGACCTATCACTAGTTGACCACTAAGCTATGCTGGCAGAATAATGACCCCTGGTACACAGGCACACATGCATGTAACCACACACACACACATGGAGGGGGATGAATAAAATAAAAACAGTGGAAACATCAACAACCATAATATTCACAGAAAAAGTTCAGGAGAATAAATGAGATAAACATGAGTATACCAGGGACCTAGTAATGTATTTACAGGAACACTTTAGATTAAAAAAAAAGAGAATGACAGCAGGCAGAAGGCTGAAGTCTAGACCTTTACAAAGGAATGAACAATACTGAAATTGTAAGTACAGCTACACAAAAGAAAATCTTATTAAATAGCTTCCAAATAAAATTGACTTTGGAAACAAAAGATATTTATACATAAACGTAATTTTTACTATTAATTAAAATGAAGTAAAATAAATGCAAAACATACTTTGAATACATGGACTCAACTGGTTAAAATTCAGTAAAGTTTTTTTATATGCCATGCTAAGATTAGCCAGACAAGGACACGGCATGACAAAGGAGCCAGTTTAGTCAACAGCCCTAAACATGTATGCATCAATAAGATTGCTTCAAAATATATGAAGCAAAACCTGACAGACTGCAAAGAGGAATTTACAAATCTACATTTATTACAGAAGTCAACTAGAGTATTTTCTTTCAATAATCAATTAAAAAAGCAAGTAAAAACTCAGCAGGAATGGCCAACTTGATGCGATAGATATTTAGAAAGTATTCCACCCAACAAGAACCATGGATCAGCAATTTACCAAAATCGACGCTTTTATAACATGATTCTCAAGAAAGCTAAGTAGTTCAATTATTTTACTCCAGTGGAATGAGATTAGAATTCATTGATGAAGTATCTCAGAAAAAATTCTTGATAATTAAAAATTAAATTCTACTTCCTTTATATTGCTGAACTGTCATGTTTACATTCTTCCTAATTCTTTAGAAAGTGTAGTATTAGCAGTAGAAGTGCAGTAGGCCTTATATGACTTTCCTTAATCTCTATCTTAGATCCACTTTATCTTTCTTCCTGACTTCCCTGCCTGGAAATTCGTCAACTTTGACCTCTTCACTAGATCATCTCTTATTGATGGATTTTTATAGTTTTTTGTTTTCTAGTTCATTTATTTCTGCTTTATATCTAACTTTTCCTCCTTGGCTTTTGGAAGCTGAGGTTGCTGAACTCTTCCTTTCTTCTTTCCTAACAGGCATTTAGTGTACACAAATACAGGCAGTCAAAGCAGAAATAAACAAATAGTAACTCAGACTAAAGGACACACTCAACAGCATGTAAAACCAGCCCATGCTCTTGGCCTGCAAAGCATTCGCCTGCAAATGGCACCCTGATAATTAAAAAATAGGCAGTCTTCGTTCCTCCCCTCTTGCCTCCAATCAAATAAAACTGGCAAGCAGCAGAAGCCAAGGAGCTTAGCTTTATTAATCATCAGAAAAATGCAAATTAAACCATGAGATCTTATTTGCATACTTATTTAGGGAAAATACATATTTGTATTTTCTTCCCAAATTTGTAAACTCCAAGATAAAATCATTCGGGAAATCAAATATTGCCTTTATTTTCAACAAAGCTAAAAATTATAGTTTGTTTTGCAGCAACAGGGCTGGGCCACACCATAAAGCCCTGAACAAGAAATGAAATCAGGTACTGGCATGGTCTCAGACCATGGGCGTCCACTGTGGGAAGACAAGGTCCAACTCCTTAGGGAGTGAACTTTAACCTATGCACTCTTTCTGTAGTTCATTGCTTTAACAGTTTTGTTACCGGAAGTCAGACTATCTTAGTTTTTCAAACTTTTGGCAGATAATTATGTTGATGACATTCACATTTTTGCATCTGCCACATACCTGCTTGAGAGTTCGATTCTATTCATGCCACAATAAAAGTTTTAAGATCAAGAGACCAGAACTGTGATGGATAAAATGGTAATACATACACGAAGCAGTATGTATGTATATACACACACACACACACGCACACACGCACGCACGCACACACGCACGTAGGCAGACAGACAGACAGACTTAAAAATTAGGAACCTTTTAGAGCAACTGATGGTATCACTGTCTTCCATGAACATGTTCATTAAGGACTGTAAAGATGGAAATTGAAGCAGTCACTTGACATTTCTTTATAATCTGTTTTGGTTAGTACCTCCTATGTCCTCCTTTATGAAATAAAAAAACAAACACTATTGTTGCAGAACTGTACTATGAACTGTGTATTTCTTCATTTTTGTTTGTTTTGTTTTGGTGTTTTGAGACAGGGTTTCTCTGTGTAGCACTAGCTGGCCTCAAACTCAAGAGATCCACCTGCCTCTGCTTCCCTAATGCTGGGATCCAAGGTGTGTGCCAACCACACCTAGCTAGTTTCTATACACTGGCTAATCTCTAAAATTCCGTTGTATCCCAACCCCCCCCCAAACAATTCAACACATTATTAACACGGCCCAGCCTAAAACAGGTCTATGAGCTGAGTATTTCTAAGTTTTAGACACAAGTGAAGTCAGTTTGCTGATTTTTAAATGTTTTTTATTTTACATGGAACTGATTGGTGCAATCCTGTGGAACCATCTTTAGAGAAAATTCTTTTTCAAAAGTAAACAAAAATCCTTTGAATTATTTATATATTAATTTGTCTAATTTTTGAAAACAAAACTCAGAGTCAGCTTTATCCTATTTCACTATGAATGTTACACTTAGAAATTGAAACAAGAGATGGATAGTAAGTACAGAGACATAAAAGAGACCTTTCAGTAAACTTTCAGTCCACTGTATTTTCAAAGGTGATTATTGAGCCCAGGGGAAAAGTTGTAAGCCACAAACTATGGTTTTTAATAGAACAAAAGAATATTTAGATTATTAGCAAAGCAATATCTTAAAATATACTCAGTTGAAATTTCAGTATTAACTAACATCAAGTTGCTTTCCATTATTTACTCTACTTTAAATATAATTATGATATTCAAATATATAGTCATATGACCAAACAAAAATATTTGGAAAATCCAAACTCCTGCAACAACTTATATAAAGATTACAGAAAAAGACAAGCTGTAAATTATGTCATAGGAGGAAAAAAAAAAATCACACAGCATTTGTTTGAGTATTTTCTTATGTATTCATACCAGTTGAACAGATAGCTGTCAGAAAATTTAACCAGCTATTGAGAGATGAAACTAAATTCATACTATTTCTGACAATGGGTAACTGCTGATTTCAAGTTTGACATGGTTTCATTAAAAAAGACTTACAGTAATAGCTTACTATCATGACCTTTGAGAGGCACAGATTAAATAAGGGCATTATTTATGCCAAATCTAACAAAATGTATACCTGACTCCATTTAATTACAGTGTAAGTATCCAAATCTCCCACTGGCAACCAGATACGGTGTTTTACATGTGCCCATGCTTAGTAATCACATTAACATTGGTGCTTAAGACACTCACTGCTAAGTAGATGGGACATTTTTAAAAAGTCGCAGGACAACTTCAATACAAGAACTTAGATGGATAAATCTGCAAAATCTTAAATCTTCTTAACCTTTTGTAACTGTTATTTAAGGAGTAGTGAACTGGTTTTCAAGAGTCCTAAAAGTTGAAAACATGTTTACTCCTTCTACACTGGGACATCTGAAATTAGTACGCAAGATAACGTAAATTCATTTGGCTCTTGCATGCAGATGTGTGTGTGTGTGTGTGCACATTTTAAGATGGCTTAGAATTAAGAGTCTACCTCTAGCCAGTAATGGTTAAGTGACTAGAATTGCTACTCAGTCACTATCCTATAATGTTTACATGTTAAAGTCTCCACACACGAGAGTCATTTTAGTTCTCATCACTTGTGGTGAAGAGGCCTGGCTGAAAAGCAAATGACATGGTTTCTTTTTTAAGCAGCAGAGAAGCCTGCTTATCTATATAATTTTCCATCATTATGTATTCTATTCGGAATACTTGGATCAAAATCTTATTTCAATCAGCTTAATCCACACAAGGTGTAAGACACAAACAGTACAAACCAATTCTAAAGAATTTAAATAGGAAGTATTCACAGCATTCTTGACTGTAACTTTAGGGTTGCTAATCAGAGACTGTAGAAACGACAAAAATGAAGAGATGGAAGCTAACTTCTCAGTGCGTCCCATCATGAAGACAACATGTATGGCACTTGTGGGACACTGGATCACAAGTGTCGACTGAAGCTGCAAAGGACCTGACTAGAGCTAGTCACCAGAATGTTGAAACGACTCAGACACCCTCTTTTCTTTGTAAAATCCCCAGTAATGCAATACACAGACAACTCACTAAACATGCTTCTATTTCATTCACCCACACTGTAGTATCCTATTCTTTATCCTAACAGTTACAACAGTGTGATTTTTAAGGTCCATTATGCTATTTTTCTGAGTGGTGGTAACACTTTTAAACAAATGACATAGCTAGTTATAAATCATAGGATGAGGAAAAAAACAAAGAAACCAAAAAACCTGTACATTTTCCAAACTAGCAAGAATTAAATTATATCATGATATAGCAATGAAAATTATATCAATATTAACTAATAGTTCTATGGTAGATTATTTTCCCCCATAAAATTAAGCAGTGCAGAATAGGGCTTGGCTACAGTTAATCACATTTGGTTTTCTTAAAAACACAACTTTATTCACTATAAACAATTAAAAGGCAGTTTTCTTTCTCTGTAATACAGACATTAAATCTAAAAATTTTTTAAAGTATCAACTACCTATTAAGAAAAGTACTTTTAAATGGTTAAAAGGAATCAGAATAGCAAAGTTTAGTGTATGAAGAGTAGATATAAACCAAGAAAAAGAAGATCATTGGTGTTAGATATTTCACATGAATAGCTGCATTAAGGTCCAAAGTTTTTCCACCTTTACAAATAAAAAAGGTGTCCTCTCCATGGGGATATGCATTGTACATGTCTCCCAACAAGAGTGAGTAGGGTTTTAGAATGTTGCCAATGTTAAGTTCTTCAGTACCTAAAATTAGAGGACAGTAATATTACAGTGGCGATGGTGCATTGGAAGCGTAGTTAAGATCCAACACGAGTTGTGGTGGTTCTTTTATCTGAGAAAAAACTTTTCAGAAGAAACACCTGCCCTATGCTAACCACCAGAAGAATGAGGGCTTCTCCCACTGACCAATAGGCCACTCTTGTATTGAGATCCTCTGCTCGGCTTCGGCCTTGAGCTTCCCGCAGTCGGAAGTGAGTCTGATAGTCGATGACGGACTTGAGTGCCTCATGAATGGAAACACAAGCAGATTCCATCTGAACAGAAATACTTCCAGTTAGTTTAGCATCTTTCACAGCTCTGTACCCACCACATTCTTCTATTTTTAACCTCAGCTTATCACTGGTTTACCGCTGCTGTAGTGAACTCGCATTCTTTCACTCACATCAGTTGCCCTGGCAACAAGGCTCTTCTGCACATTCCCGAGACAACTACTGACACAGGTCTGTTTTCCCCAAACCAGGGTGCCACAGTGACGGGACACAAACTGACAAAAGTGAACATTTTTCTTCTTCAGTTAAGGCCAGTAGCTACTAAATTTCAAAAAGATTCTTAAGAACTAGAAGAATACAACAGTGGGTTAGTAAGTTCACCAGTAATGGGAGCACAGGCCACAGCCAACATACTTTAAAAATAACCCAAATATGGCAAAAGACCCAAGCCCAACTACTCAAAGTTATCTGAAACCTTAACTAGTGAAAGTACGATCACATCTTTAGCTAACTTTCAAATCTGAAAGTGGTAAGAGAATGTCCTTTATCCTTCACATTTTTGTAGGTTTTTTAATCTTTATGAGTGTTTTGCATGCATGTGGGCATGTGTACCATGTACTGGAGAGTACTGGATTCCCTTAGGCACCACATGTGTGCTGAGAGCCAAACCTGGGTCCTCCTAGAGAGCAACAAGTGCTCATAACTGCTGAGCTGTCTCTCCAGCTCCCGCATGACCTTTTCCCACAAATAAGTCTCTGTCAGTCCAGCAACATTCCTAGTACATTCGAGTTTCAGTATCATTGTTAATTGGCTTGTGACCCTCTACTCGGACGACTTTATTTTTTCTATGATCGTTATCATCTGTTTTAAAATGGTTATACATTGTCTTTACATATAGCAGGGTTTAATATTCTACTGTTGAACTCTAACCCTGGGGATGAAATACATGATTACTTTTTTTTTTTTTTTTTTGGTTTTTCGAGACAGGGTTTCTCTGTATTGTTTTGGAGGCTGTCCTGGAACTTGCTCTGTAGACCGGGCCATGATTACTATTTTATCTCACAAACCATGTAGGAAAAATTTAAAAGACATATGTGACTTTGTCTTAATTTTAACTAAAGTATACAGACAGACAATAGGAAATAACCTATTTAATGAAATTTTACTGCCAAGTGTGCATGCCTATAATGAGTCCTGGGAAAATTTTGGCAAGAAGATCCAAGCTCAAGTAGATCAATCTGGACTATGTGGTGAGTTGCAGGCTAGCTTGATTACAGAACAAAACTTTTTAATAGGCAAATAACATGTAAGAACCCCTTGGATTACATCAAGAAGCTGATTTAATAACTGAAAATTACTGAAATTAAATCTATTCCTATAATTTTTAAGATGTAGGTTTATTTTTTAAACCCTTAATGTGAAAAATTTCATATACATTAAAAGAATAAAGCAGTGAGTCCCATATCAATATTTATTAATGCATAGCTGATCTTATTTCAATCTTTCTTTTTTTTTAAGTTGTTTTTCTTCTTCTTAAGTGTATGAGTTTTTCTGCATGTATGTATGTATGTATGTACGCCCATGATGGTGCATTGGCAAGGCCAGAAGGAGGCATCAGATTCTGGGGAACTAGAGTTACTGATGGCTATGAACTACTATCTGGATGCTGGGAACCAAACTTGGGTCCTCTACAGACCAGCAAGTGCTCTTAACTACTACGACAACTCTCCATCCATTCCATCCTAGTTAAAGACATTCTACAATGCTGTAGCAACATCTTCACAGCTGAAAGAAACCGCTTTAGAACACTGGAACTGCTTAGCATTCCCACTCTTCCTTACAACTCATTTTCCATCTAGTGGCTGCTGTGGTATGGATACTCAGTGTCCCAAAAGACCATATGCTAAAGCGCTGGCCACTAGTCTATGGCACTGATGGGAGAAGAATCTTTAGGTGACAATGCTTACCAGAAGGGAGTTGTGTCATCGGGGGCGCGACCTTGGGATCCTGGGTCCCCCTTCTCTCTTTGCTAGTGTGAAGGTGAGGAACCTTCCTCTACTGAGCATTCTTGGCCATCAGTGTTCTACTTCTCCACAGGCTAGCTGACCAGAGCCAGAAACTTCTGGAACATTAACCAAACTAAACCCTGTCCCTGCTAAGTTGATTAGCGATGTAAAATGAGCTGTGAGTTCCCACCCTGTCAACACTGCTTCCCTTCTTTACACTCAGGGCTCATAAAATCTTTTACCACGCAAGTCTCAAGATACCTTTCAAATGTCTAATCTGCAAGAATTTAGATTTTTAAATAGTCTCAATTTTCAATTTCATCAAGGAGTACATACATGATTAAACTGTGAACTCCTCCCCCTTTTTATCATTGCTCTGCTCTTTTTTTATTTACCTGGGTAAGGGCACTGACTCGGTTCTCACTGGGAAACAAAGGCGGGTCTTCTCCAACTTGAAAATCAAAATACACTGTTTTGTGTGTGAAAGTAGAAAACTCATTGCTGAAGCAAAATTTGTATGTCCCATTTCTGGAGGCTGTGAAGGTGAAGCTGTCATACTGTTTCTTCATCTCCTTGTACAACACTTTACCATCAGGATCTTCCAATCGACAATCTACATCGTAGTGACCACCAGTGATCACCTGTAAGAGATTTAGAGATCACTGCAGCTAATGCATTTGAAAGTCAACCATGTTTCTTGTTAAAATGACAACAAGGCTGTATACAGAGGTCTTCCTACCACAATTTCACAGACCATGATTTTCACCAGTGGATTAAACAGAGGTAAAATTCCCATTCAACTAAAGCTTTATAGGAAGTGAAGTGGTTTCCTCCTAACAGCAGAGAAGAAGCATAATCACATTAACCATTCAGACAACTGTGTTGGTTGATATAGCAAAAAAGAAAAAAAAAATGGTGAGAGACAACAGTTTTGGTAAACCCTACCCAGGAGAGTGAATGGGACAGGATTGTTATTTTCAGGCTTTAATTCTCTTGGCCAACATACTGTTGACATTATACATCAGTAAAACAAAGAGGTCAAAGTTAGACTTCAAAGTAATTTCTATTACTTATATGAACTTTTGTCACTTGAGATGATGACTAATAGGATTATGCTACAAGATCATTTCAATAATTACATGAGATACAATTTGTACTTAAGGAGCTATATGTGTGTACATATGATTATACACATATGCATACATAAGTACAAATATGAATGAATGAATGAATGATTACTTTGGATTAAGACTAGGGCTGTGTATTGCTGAACTACACCCTAGCCTGTTTTTGTCTGTGGACAAGAGCTGGCTAAACTCACCAGGATGGTTACAAACTTGTTTTGGTTGAGAGTCTTTAACAGGCAAACTCTCTTTCCAGCCAGCTCAAGGTTTTTTGAGACAGGATTTCTCTGTAGCCCTGGCTATCCTAAACCTGGCTCTGTTTCTCATGAGATCTGCCTGCCTCTGCCTCCCAAGTGCTGGGTGGGATTAAAGGCAAGAGGCACCACTGCCTGGCCTACTACAAACTTGTAATCCACTGCCTTAGTTCCAAAGGCACTATTACATATTGCCAGCACCCAGGGCCTGATGAAACAGTTTGAGACCACAATTTTAAAAAGCATTTTATAAACCGGGCATTTACTCTTCTCTCTAAAAGTAAATACCCTTTCTTCCTAGAGAAAAATGCCCTTTATTCAACTATACCTGATCACAGTACTCTGAATAACTTGAAAAAAAGCAGAATGGATTACCAGCCACATTGGTTCTATTAAAATTTAAAACAAGCAACCTTGTTTTAGTTAATAGTACCTCTTCTAAATTTGTCTGTCACTTACGACTGGAATTGGGTATCATTTCAAACTCAGCTTTTACCACCTGTTCACATGACCACAACACTTTCCTGATCATAAATCTTCCATTACTAATCCATGATATACCATGGTCCCAAATGCCTAAAGGTTTCCAAATCTAATCTCTTCTAACCTTGGGTTCCCCAACTTGGTAGCAGGGACTGTTGTCCTGGGCAATACACCACATGTACCATTAATGTTCCCTGCAATCTTAGTGTATTAGATGTCAATCACAGCACCCCACAACCCGCAATTTCTCCTTGTGGGGTGGGAGTGGGGGTGTTCTATCTTTTTTCATCCTTCATTAAAATAAAAAAGCACTCATTTAAAATCTCTTGAAAACTCAGTCTAACTTATCAAAAGTGCAGATTTGTCAATAGCAGCATGCACTCCCTTCTGTCATCAGCTCTGGGCCTCAGCAACTTCCAGCTCATGACTGTTATCTACCACTCCCTACCAGTCAGACTTCGCAAGCTCTCCGCCTCACTTTGTACTAACAATGGGTTCCACAGAACTTATTTGCCCAAGAAGCACAAATGCAAATGCTTATAAACCTAGTTTATTACAAGAAAATGTAATACAAAACATCACTGCCAAAAGCTCTCATAGACAAGAAGAGATCAGGTATGGGCCTTTGTCCTTCCCCTTTGAAGTCTGGGCCAGATTACTTTCTCTCAGATCAGGGCCATTCGAGTGTGTAAGGAACACCCTGCAACCAGGGACTCTAGAGCTGAGCTTTGAGTTGCCTTCTGGTCATATAGGCACAGGTAACTAAACTCAGGAGCAGAGCTCTGGGGCAGAAACTGGGCTATGGGGCAGCAAAGAGACCAAGCACAAATCTTGTTAGTTGGGGGGGGGGGTGGCAAACTGATCCAAAACTATCTCCTAAAACTCTCAGCCTCCACAGCCACCGAGCAGAAGTATTCTTATACTTCAGTGCCACTTGCTCATACTTTAGCCCAAGAGCTCAGGCTAATGTTAGTCTCCAACTCATCTGGCTAGTATGCTTTCTCCCCTCTGCCATATTGCAGGCCAAACCTTAATTATCCTTCCTCATGCAGCTCAAACCTCAGTGCTCCTCTGAACTTGTCCTGATGATCCCCTTGTCCCCAGCCAGTATTCTGCTTGTGTGAACTTGTAGTGTTGGACTTTAATATATGACCGTGTCTACTCTAAGGCGGTTACTACAATAGTTCAGCGTGAGGCTACCATTTCTATTACTTCTAAGGGTGACCTTGGATCTGAACCCATCTTGGATTCTGTTTCACCAATTGAAAGGAATAAAAACTCTTCTCTATTTCATATTAGTTTTCCTCAAAATTAATGTAATTGAAACATTTCGGATACTGTCTACACATAACAGATTTTTAAACCTGTTTCAGCACTATAGTATCTACAGACATAAAAATTCAAGAAATATATATTGAACTTACAGGAAATTCTGACATAGCTTAGAATGCCTTTGTAATTATACATGTTGAGAATCGATACACATATATATCCTCAATTCTCACCTATTACTACCACTAATATAAACACATATTACCAAGTCCTGTTGATTTTACCTATTGTAAAATCTTTCTCATTCTGCATTATTCTAACCGAGTGTAAGCTATTGTCGCTTCTTTTAAGAAATATTTTTGCTATTTTCAACTGTGTGTGTGAGTGTGTGTGTGTGTGTGTGTGTGTGTGTGGAGAGAGGGTATGTGCACATGAGTGCAGAGGCCAGAGGTTGTTGAATCTCCCTGTAGCTCCAGTTACAGGTGACTGAGAGAGACCTGGAATTCAAGAGTTGCTGGAATGTTAAATGAGCCTAGTAACAAAAACCGTAGACTGTTTTAGACTATTTAAGAAATCACAATGATGAGAAAAGTTCTTGTTTTACATAGTCCCAAAACTGAGAAGGGGCCTCTTAATCACATTTTTTACAACACCTTTGACAGACGGTCTTTTAAAATCCTCTAACAGAGAGCTTCCAATCACGACCAAGAGTCCCGGTGTCATGCACAACCCAAACCAAACCCCCAAAAGACCCGAAAGGATCATGGAGTTATATCAAATCTTATTAAATTGGCATTGTGGATTACAGGAGTAGGGTGCCGGGCATTTGTATGTAGGAACAGCTAAAAATATAAAATCACAATTTCTTTTTTAAAAGGCTATTTAATAGGGCTTAACTTCAATGAACGACACCGGAGAATGCCACAGTCACAAAAAGCTAGTCTGGAATTCACAGGTTTTTTTTTTTTTCTTTTCTCTAAGCTCCTAAAAGAAAAGCCAAAAGCCCTGCCTCCGCAACCGAAGTGACTCTCGGGTCAGCCACCCACGGCGGCTGGGGCCCAGGGTACCTGGAACTCCAGGGTGCACTTGGTGCCCTGAGTGATGTCCTCGTAGAAGCATTGCTTGGCGTTGTCGGGCAGCTCGAAGGTGATCTCGGAGGCGCCGCTCGGGCCCGACAGCAGCAGCAGCATCAGCGGCAGCAGCCCGCATCCCCAACGGCCCGCGGCGGCCGCCCAGAGCGGCGCCGACCCCGGCCGCGGCATCCCGGCGGCCTCGACGCGCGCGCGCAGCAGGCCCGGCCCCCAGCGGCCCGCAGACCTCGGCGACGCGTGCGACGAGGAGCGAGCGCGGGCTTCCGAAGAGACGCACGGGAGGACCGGCGCCGCGCCGGGAAGACCGGAGGGGCAGGGGGCACAGCCGGCAGGACAGCGGAGGAGGAGGAGGAAGAGGAGGAGGAGGAGGCCTCGCTGACCGGAAGCCCAGCGAGAGAGCCTACGCGGAAGGGGCGGGGCCGGAGCAGGCTGCGGCGACCCGGATGTGATATGGGGCGGGGCGAGGCGTTGGAGGGAGTACGTGGAAGCGCGCGAGGCCTCGGCGTTGCTGGGGCGGCCTCCCGGGGCGAGGGGCGGGGCCCGCGCGGGAACGCCACGGGAAGGGGCGTGGCCGGCCGTTGCCTAGGAGGGGCGCGTCGTCTCGCCGCTCGCCGGGCTTCGCTGGTACAAGGGGGGTTCCGCTGCATTTTTGTCACCGTGAGTACCGAGTTTGGGGACGCTCCGAGGGGCTCCGAAGAGCTCATTTGGGCGGGGCAGGAGGGACGGGGGCCAGTCGCCGGGGGTCGAGAGCGGCCTAGTTTGCAGGAGCTTGTCTCATGAATGTGTAGTCGTGTTTGGAGGAGGCAGCTCGGGCAAAAAGCGCATGTTCGCAGAGTTGAATACAAGGCCCTCTGGCCTTAGCCTGGATGCTTGAAACTCTCTGCCTTAGTCTAAAGAGTGCTGATCGCGCTGCCTAAGATAAACACACGATTATTACATGAGTTCATTGTCTGGAGAGCGAGCGGCCGGCACGTGGTAAGCACGAGCTAAGCTTCGGTTTAATAAACACAAGCATCTGATGTGTACCCTTGATCAGGCCCCTTCCACTAATAAGTGGTCATTGTGTCCGTTGTACTGATTAGGGAGTTAAGGATCCAACAGCAGCAAAGTTACCGATTTGCCTGTGATCAACATGGCGTTTCTTCAAGTGCTAGAAAACGGCAGGGGTGGGCTTCAGGCTGCGGAGGATTTATGAAAAGTAATTAACAGGCAAGGTAAGAGTGAGGCCGGGTCTTGAGTAAGGGTGGGGTAGGATATTTAAAAGGAGAGACGGAAGTCTCTTCTATAGCCCGAGGCAACCAAAGCTTCTGCAATGACAAAGGAATGGAGGCCAGAGGTTACAGTCTCAGCTTCATTTAGTCTGGGGAGACTACACCTTCCTGAGGACCAAGCCAGAAACAAACACTATTTTGCTGGTGAGCGAAAGTAAAACTGAATTTGACAGTGAAAAATGTAGGTTCTGTTCTCTGTGATCTTGGACAGGTAATAAATAGCTCTTTTAAACCAACCTCGGAGCTGGCAATCTAGCTCACCAGCAAAGCTTGTTCAAGGCCCAGGGTTGACGCCTCAGCACTGCAGGGGTGGGTGTGGGAGGATTGTCCACGGTGTCCGAGGAAGATTAAAAACTCAGTACAATATGAGAGGTTTGTGAGGGAGGAAAGGGGAAATTATGTAACTGGAATCTCAAAAAATAAAATAATAAAAAAAATCAATGCAACATCACTTTTAATCACAAGTATCACCAAACAGGAAAAAATGTTAAAGTGTAGCAATGCTAGACTTTGTTGTGCACTGCTAGTGGAGATGTAAAAGGGACAACCAATTTGGGGAAAGCCAACATGTAATAAAACGGAAGATACATGTATGTTATGTAATACATGCACATATATAAATGTATATATATGTGTGGCCTGCAAGTTTGACTTTTTATAATTTTTTAATGATTTATTTCTTATGTATATGTGTTCTGTTTGCATGTTTGCCTGTATGCCAGAAGAGGGCATCAGATGGCATTACAAGTGGTTGTGAGCTCAGGAAGAGCAGCCAGTGCTAACCTCTTAGCCACTTTTTATAATTTCGTACATATACTGTAGAGTATTTACTTTAGAGCAGTGATTCTCAAAGTGTCTTCTGAAAATCTTTCAGAGGCTTTGTAGTAATTTGAGGCTGGATTTTTCATGATGTGTTTCAATCAGAACAGCATACCATAGTAGATTGAAGGAGGTGAGCTCTCAAGGTTTTCTATGAATCTAGACTTACAAAAATATAAAGCAATGTCTTTTCTTTCCTTTTATTTGATGTAGTTATACCTTATTTTCAAATATATTGCCTATGTATGATGGGTTGAGTTGCATACCTTCAGACACAATTCCAAGACCTTATCCCCATCCCTGTGGATAAACTTTATTTGTAAGTAGGATCCCCAGAAGAGATTCTCTTAAATTTAGAGTGAGCCCTAAATGCAATGAATGGTAACCCGACAGAAAAGAAGATTAACGATACATAGAAGAACATAAAGGCACACACGTAGATTGGAGTGATGTGTGCACAGGCCAGAGAACACCAAAGCTCGTCCATAGTCATGAGGACCTGGTAGAGAAGCTCTTCAAAGCCTCCAGACAGAGTGAGCCAGTGCCTTCATCTCAGCTGTCAGAGACGTTTCTGTTATTTTTAAGTCACTGAGTTTGTGGCTTTTTGATTCGGAATATAAGGGCCATGGACAAACCTCATGAGGGTAGTTGGCTTAAAAACTTGTGAATATCTCTCATACTTAAGAGAATGTCAGATGGGCCCAGCGGCTTCGTGCAGGTGTGGAGGACAGCAGTTGTTATCAGGTGCCTCCTTGCTCTCCTCTTGGGCTTTTTGAGATCTCACAGATTGGGCTAGATAGGCTGGCTAGCAAGCCCCAGGGGTCTTCCTGCCTCCATCTCCCTAGCTCTGGGTTTACAGGCACAGGCTATCCACTTTGGCTTCTCTGTGGGCTCTGGGGATCTGAACTCAGGTCCTCATGCTTCTGCTGCATGCACTTTACCAACAGGGCCATCGACCCAACCCTTTTCATAACTTCTGGTTCAAGTGCTAGACAGGCGGACGGACAGACAGACAGACACATGGAGTCTGAATTCCTAAATCTCTGAGTGCTTCTACAAGCCTGTGATTTCCCTACAATAAATTTGAAATTCAGAATTTGATGTGTGAGTGTGACAGCCTACTTGATATTAAATGGAGAACAAAGGCACAAGGAAACCCTGAATCAATTTGTCAAACAGGTCACATTTGTCTCAAGGAAAAAGCCGAGGGCCAGAAGCCACTATTTTTCAGAAGCTACCAACCAATAGCTGAAATAGAAACTATGCAAGAAATCTGTAGAAGCTGGGAATCCAGTCAGTTGTTAGATGGTTAACTTGTTAGAAAATATGGGAGACCATGTTGCTCATCTCCCTGTAGAAATTCCTCAACACAGCAGAGTTAAGATTTGGGGTTTTGGGGCCAATATTTTAAATCCACAATTGGAAGGCTTCGTGTAACAAGATGGAAATTGAAGGTAGTAAGAAACTCACTGACTTTCTTTTTTAGACAACCTCTTTGCTCCAACAGCTTTGTGGCCAGCAGGTGGTGCTGTTCACTTTCCAGATCTCTCCACAGGCACAGAGGCTGCCTTGATGTGCTTTCTGGGTTTACAGAAATTACACAGCTGAAACATTTGAGCAGAACTTGCTAAAGACACCAGACCAACAAAAGGGAGAATGAAGAGTGAGTGGGTAATGGATAAAAAACACCAACTGCTTCTTGAGAGTCATGTTAGGAATTTAAGCTTTTTCCAGGGCAGTGGAAACATACACCAAAGGACCTATTGGAGTTCTGTTGTTAAAAGGAGCATTCTGGACCCATTAGATTAGATTAGAGGTATATAAATATGGAAGTAAGATTAATCTATGTGAAAGAAAAGGTCGTTAGCAAAAGGGTAATCATTGGTTGGCTGGGTGGCTGAAGGTAGTGTGTCTGCAAGGCGACTTGGTGGGGTGAAAGGTTGAGTCAGCTCGGAGGTGCTAAAAGACTCGGCAGCTGAGACTGCTTGTGGGAAGGGAGGCCTGGAGAACACGGTGGGGCAGTAGCAGACACAGAAGAGACTGTGGCGTCCCCCTCAGTGGCCAGCAAAGAGCATCTTTCATCTGTAAGTGGTCATCTCTATCTTCTGGACACCACGTTGGTGTCTCGTGGTTTTGCCCAGGGTACTGTCCCCCATTTCATGTAAGACACTTCATTCCTTTGTCTGTTCCTTTCCTACGTAAGACAGCGTTAGTCTCCTACTTTATAATATAGGACCATTTTCTTCTTGCTCCAGTATTTGGCACATAACAAATGCTCAACTAATATTAAAGAGATGTTATAGAATGATAGAGAAGATAAATAATGATTGCGTAAATGTAGTGCACCAAAATCTTGCTCTTTTATTTTTGATGTACATCATAGTGCTATTTTAACCATTGTACATATTAGTCTTTTGTAGTGTGCATGTTTCAAACAGTGTATTTACCAGGCTATCGTCTATCACATGTGATTATCTTTTTTATTTAAAGTGCCGTGTATCTTGGAAAGCAAGCTGCATTGACAGCTGCTGATAGTTTTAACTATTCTAGATAGGAAGTAGTTGAAAAGTATCCCAATTCTTGGGCTTAATTAGGATTTACATGAGATGTCCTGTGCATCCAATACCATTGGAAAGAATAATAATAAACAAGTATTTTGCCGGGCGGTGGTGGCTCACGCCTTTAATCCCAGCACTTGGGAGGCAGAGGCAGGCGGATCTCTGTTAGTTCGAGGCTGGGCTGGACCGACAGCCTCCAAAACAATACAGAGAAACCCTGTCTCGTAAAAACCAAAAAAAAAATAAAATAATAATAAACAAGTATTTTAGCCTCATGTAAGCCATGGGGTAGGGATAGCTTATATGAGGGACATTACAATTCAGAAAAACCCCCAGTTAAGAGTGTCCTTTGAAAGGCCGCTGTATATATTGTTAACTATGCGTGTCCCCTTAGGTCTGATTAACTTCTGCCTTTCGTAGTTGCTAAGTCACTATTTTGGAATGTCCTCACTCTACTGGACTCGGAGCCGGTTCATGCTCATTTGTATATTCATCCCCACTCCCCAGATGAAACTCAGGGCTCTGTGCATGTTAGACATACTTTAACATTGAGTGCATCCTTCCTTCAGCGAATTCATTCCTGTTCAGCATTTCCTGCTTCACTAACGACAACTCATAAAGCACCTTGTCCCCACCAGTCTAATTACATACAGATTCTTTAAATAGTTCAGTGTGCTCCCCACTAGTCTAATTGTGAATATGTGAGAGTCTTCTGGGCTGCAGTGAGAGAAAGGTTGGGTAGAGGTGTTGTTAGGA